TGATAAGTCCTGGAAAGCGCCGAACTACACGTTCTAATTTTCACAACAGTTGGTAATGCACAACCCTCAGGACTTCCCCACGTTTTTCGCCTTGATTTCCTCACATGCCAGAGCGATAATTACACTGGTGAAAATAATCGCAAACTTCAGCTGTAATATAAAATAAAAATATTTTAAAAAAAAATTTTTAGCTTTAGCTTAAAAGCTTAATGGAATTTTTAAAATAAGAAAAATCCATTTTAAAGGTTATCTCCTAATATTTATTTTAAGCAAACAGATTGTGAATAACTGGATGTACTCGTAGTTCAATTTTCAAATATATCATATTAATACAATAGTGAATTCATAGTACATTTTAAATGTTGTCTTATGAAATCTAATACAATAATAATCTATTACATAATTTTTTAGCTGTTTAATATAAATCAATTAGAATTTGTTTTATTAAGTTGCCTTTATAAGTGATGTGTGTTTATTTTTCTTATCGTATTAATTTCAAGTATATAAATAAATTTAATACACTTAAATATTATTTAAAACTATAGGAAATTTAGCAAAGCGCTTGTTAATATTGAATAATTTATTTTGAAGCTAACAAAACGGTTTCTTACTAACAAAAGTTGTATATGGGTTAAATTTATGGAGTCATAACCCTCTAGCCAAATTTTGTATATTTTTTTAGATATCTCCCTGTACAGATGTTTTTTTAAAATTAAAAAAAATTATGAATTTGAGTGTAGGCTAGTGCGAAAATCAAGTCGAGGCAAAAATTGCCGGATGCCGAATCCGCGGCTATTCCTGGTGGTGTTGTTTCATGTTGCCCTTGTTGGTGGTGGCAACGTCAAGGTGAAAGCCGCTTAAGGTGGCGGAGGGTGGGCAGGAGTCCATTGTTAGGATTCAACATGTGCGCTATTGGATTAAGTGGCGAACGGCGGCGATTCAAGGACAATCAATGAAACAGCACGAGCCTGGGAGTCCGGAGTCCGCAACCCGGAGCCTGTGCCTCGTCACCTTCTGTCCAAATCGAAGCTAGACCGCGTAACAGAAATCCATTAAGGTGACCGTTTTATTTGCTACATTAGCAGAGGCCTGGGTGGTGCCTTAAATGCATGCATTTAGCCATCTGCCTGCATTTTGCCAGTACAAAAGTGTTAATTGAGACTTCTTTTTTATTGGATTCGTAGAGAGTGCGCAGTCAACCGGAATGGTCAGGATAGAAAGATAGTCTTCGAGTTCAAAAGCCGGTTCCAGCATGCAAATGCCAGGCTAAAGGATGCAGGATACAGGCAGCTGCTACTCGGAAAAGAGAAACGCCCACGTGCCGTAGAAATGCCAGGAATGCCAGCCCGGAATTTCCAATCAATTTTAATTGGCACCCCATCGATGGTTGACAGCGAAAAGAAATCCAAAATATTTGTGCATAATTTTAATTAGAACATTTTTCTATTTGCGCAATTTATCTTGTGTGTCGCAGGAATATAGTACTTAGAAACCGGTGGCAGACGTTCAATGGGTGTCAAGTCAGTGCAATAAATTATTTTAAACGAGCATATCGAAGATGTGTCGTCCCTCTAACATGTGCTGCTGCCTGGTAGCTGGGTATTCCAAATATTTTTATGGCTAGGTCCCTGGATGGCCGGGTGTAGGGATCGTCGTCGTAGGGATTTATGTGCAATCGGGGGGCTCGGAGATAAATCTTCTGCCCACTCAAGCGGCCAGCCAATCAAAGTTGCAGTCATTTAAATGCTCGCAGCGGGACTCTCTCCACTCGGAAAACTCATTTAAGTTTTCCTCGGCCAGAGAGATAGGTGAGAAGGATAAGGTCGAGTCGAGGGATTGGCCAACTTTGGTCCGGCAGCTTAATTGCCCAGTGTCCTTGCAACGAAAAAGGGAGGCTTAATTGCCTCAGCCTCTGCCTTTTGACTCCCATGCTTAATTGCCATTTAGTCCTTTTTAATGGACTCCAATGTACGGGGACACTTCGTCCGTCTACAGTCGTCTTTCCTCCTTGTTCATTAATGGCCACGTCTAGATTTCCGCTCACCTCCTTGCGTAACTTTTACAAAACCCTGTCGATACCACTCACTGTCTCTTAGATAGACCTGCAAATGCTAGCATTTTAATAGCAGCATTTTTGACTTAATATGTCCCGGCTTATCTGTGTATCTCGGCATCCTGAATGTCCTGTGTGTGTTCTGTGCCCCTTTGGGGCATTCTCAGCTCGTTTGTGTTGCATAAATTTGCCCAAATTGTTTTGCTGCTGTCCGATAAGACGCCGTCGATGGCATGACAATTAGCCCGAAACTACATTTAAAATATTACTTGTGGACCTTTGCTTCTGTGGTCCGGTAGTCCCTTCGTCCTGTTTCAGCTTTAATTGTTTCTTGGGGTCGTCTGTTGAAAGTGCAAACACTATCTGATTGCTGATATCCCAAATATTGACTATTGGCCGAGAATGCTAAAAGGGCCAAGTCAGTTTGTAACTTTTCAAACTTTTTTATCATAGGACTTAACACTGTATTTAGACAAGGGTTTAAGTTGAGATTGTTTTGACATCATTAACTATATATTCGATTTGGCAATTGTATTGGACTTGGTAGTGTTTGCTTATAACTTAACTATGATGATTACCCTTTCCATAGCAAAAATCTGAAATTTATCTGAAGACAAGCATCTGAAAGTATTGTTTTATTAAACAGGATGAAAAAGTCATAATTGGGATTGATAAATACATTTCCATGGGATTTGACAAGATATAAACATGTTTTTTATAAAAATATGTTTTTAAATTAATATTATGTTATGAGAATAGGCGTAATCTTTAAAGGTGACATCCATAATTTATATATATAAGTTGTTATAATAATAATATTTAATAAATTAAATTTCGTTTTAAGAAAGTCATACACCTTTCGAACAAGTTTCCTCAACGGTCTAGTTCCCACTTTCAACCTTTTGCTGGACCCACTTAGATCATTTCAACCTGCCACTTAACGCAGCTTCTGCACTTACATTTAATGAAAAAAAGGGAGCATTATTATTAAATTAAACCCAAAGAAATACCCCGCTACTCCTCCTCGACCTCATTTGAGAGCATGACATAAACATAAACTTTGCGCCTTTTGTGTGAGCGAGTCCTGCGGGCGTTCCTTGTATATGTATTTATGTACGTAACCTGATCCTGGCTGGCGGCTAAGAACCATACAGCAACAACAACAACGATAAGGACAACAAACACCTTTAATATTTTCATTATGAAGTCATTCAGCGCGATTATTAACGCGTGACCCCCAAGGCGATGCACAGCATCCAGAACGGTCAAAAGCGGATGAAGGTTCAGGTCCACCCCAATCCACAACAACACCAAAGTTCTTATTGCAGAGAGAAAACTTAGTCAGAGTTTTTATAAAATTTTAGTTACACGAGATGGAAATTAAAAACAAGAAAAATAGTTGACCATTTTCTTCTTCACCTTATAATATTTATTTAATTAAAAATTATTTTCAAAATTACTTTTTTATTAAGAATATAAGCTCCAGATATTAAAAAAAATCCAGAAGATACGTTTTATTTCAGGTGCTAAGTTTTTGAAATACCCCTTGACCATTTAAAAAAAAATTTCGCTTGCATTTCTATCTGCTAAACCTTGCATAAAGGTATAAATATCTGGGAGCGCTGACATTAATGAACAATATTAATAAAGTCTTTGCCGTACTGAAAAGTAGTTTTTCTCAGTGTGCTCTGACGCTGAGGTAAATTACAATTTTTTGTTTATAAGTGGCAGCCAGTGGGCAAGTGCAGCTGTACCTAATAATCATAATAATTGCGCCATGGGCGTCGACGTCGTCGTCAACTTTTCCAGACGCCATCCCCTACCCTTCTCCATCCGCAACTCCGCCAACAACAATTGCTTATAAAGTGCGTGTGACACATTAACGGGAAAAGTCCGGCGTGAAAAGCGTGGAAAGCCTGAGCAGCCAGGGAAAAAAAGGCAAATAAAACTCGTGGCCAGTGGGCGAACTTCAAAAGAAATAAAGAAAAGGCGCAACAAAAAAAAAAAATGGAACGCAAAGAAAAGAAAAGAAAAGTCCTTTAATGCCGTGAATTTTCCGCGGGATTTCTATAAAGTGCAGCGGGGTGGGAGGATGAGAAAATTAGACGGGGGGTCAATGCGGTTTCTGCCGCGAAAATTGAAAAAATGTTCGTGCGTAAATTGGCTTTTGGGCCGGGGATGCTCTCCATATCGGCCAGAAATTGAAATGGAAACAGGCGTGGCTAGGTCACCTCACATCCGCACTTTTATTTTTTCCACTTTTTCAAATTGAATTTAGCTTCGAGAGCTCCTGAGAAGGCCGAAGAGGAAAGGGAAAGTGGAAGAGCAAGAGGAAGGAAAACCCGGCAGCAAATTAAAAAGAAATTAAGCCAATTTGCCTTTACAAGACAGGATGTGCGGCTCAATTTCAGGAGCCGTAGCTAAAAAGTGGCCGCGACTTGTTGTGGCTCGTAAATCTTGGCCCATAAATACCAGGGCCTTCTGCTCTACTATATTCCCGCTCGTTTCCTTTTCGCCTCACTGCCAACAACGTCTTTATTTCGGTGTAAAATTCTTTAATCTCGTTCAATTCAATTAGTTCAAGTTGACTAGTTAATGCCGCTCCAAGTGTCCGCGAATGTCCTTTTTGTCCATCGGAGGTGAGTTATCTTCCTGCCGCGACTTTGTCACCGCGCATTAAGTTTTGCAATTTATGGGTACTCTGAGTGGAGTGGCTTGGGTCCTGATGTTTATGGTTATCGTAGGCCGATCAGAGTTTAATTAGGTAAGTAACCTTTCCCGGTTGGTAGGTAATTTGATAAATTTATTATAATAATTGGCCTATGGGAATGGATTGAATTATTGGAATTAAGAATTTAAATCGTTATAAAGCAGTCAACATTAAATAACATTCTTTTAATTTTACTGTAAATAACATACATAATTTATTAAAAAATTGACTCTTTTATTGAATTTACATATTTTTATTTGATGACTACTTATTTGTATGCATTCCTAATCACAAAAGCATAAGTAAAGCGGAAATAATAATTTTGAATACATTTAAAACCAAATTGCTTGCGATTGTGTGCTGATTTAGAAGGCAAACTGTACGACCTAACTTCACTGGTTACAAATCTAATAAAATATAAACTTCCTGTGAAAAGTTTAATGAAATATCCCGCCGAGACTGTCATCGAAATTGATAAGTTTTGAATATACAAAGGGCGGGATGGATGCTATTCACAGCTAAAGGTGGACTACGCAATTTAGTCATCGCTTATACATGGATCTGGATCTTCTGGGGCATCTGCAGATCCTTCGAAAGGACGAGAAGCACTGAAGGCTTCGGTTAAAGCGTCCACAGTGGACTCTATATCCTGGCGCGGTGAGGATGGGGGCGTGGCATTATCATCTCGAGGCTTGGCCTTGCCAAAAATCAGAGCAGCCTGTTTGGTTTCAGCAAGAGAGTTAATAGGGGCAGTCACTGTCCGTGGTTTTAGCACCAATTTGGGCCTATCATCATCGTCGAGTAACCCGAATTGATTACTCGAACCTGGACCAGTTCCCGATGATCCTGGCTCCAGGACCACGGAGTCAGGACTCTTGTTGCCCCTGCCAAAGTTGCCATTCCCATTGCCAGCGTTGTTCGGATTGTAGTGACCTCGGCGATCGCGATTGCGATTCTGAAAAAAGTTGTTATAGCTGCCGTTTCCGTTTAGGTTGCCGATTCCAAACCCGCCGACTCCGTTTCCGTTGCCTTCTCTTCCGACACCGCCCATTCCGCCAGTGGAGTTGTTGAAGGTGCTAGGGGTACAAGATTCGTTATAATAAATTATAAGCACTATAGTTTAATTGCTTTGCCAAAAATACAAAAAATAGTTGAGGAATCGTTAAAAAAAAAGATGACTTCCATCAATGTGGGGCTTATTCGAACTTAATTATTGTATACCTAAGAACTTTTGATTGAAAAAGCATTAAACATTATAATTAAAATGTGTACGAACAATTTTAAATTTTTAAATTAGAAATAAAATAAAAATATTGGTAAATAAAAATATTGTATAATTGTTATCGATTGTGATTGGTTCATAGAAAAACTTATGTTAGGGACCAATTACCAATCAAACTACAAAATTCAAAATTTAAGAAAGAAACAGTGTAAATGTTTTCATCAGTTTTTAAATTTCTAAAATGTATACTGATTTATTACGTGATGTTTTTCTTACCGATTAAAGTTGAAGTTGCGGTTGCGTTGGAATCCTCCATTACTGGACGCCTGTTGACTATCGCGGTCATCGAAACTGGATCGTGGAGGTCCTCCCTGGTAACGATTGCCATTCCCGTTGCCATTGCCACCACCACCACGATTGTTGTAGCCACCTCTCGTGGTGCGGTGGTAGTTTATGGACGACGTGCTCTGGGTGGGGCTGCTATTGGACAATTGATGGGTACTGCTGCTGCGCGTTTCGTTTCGTCTATACTGATGGGATCCCACGCTGTCATCCCGGCGATAGTTGCGCCTCTGGTAGTAGGGATGGCCACCACCCACGCTGCCGCCTCCTCTGCCGCCACCTCTTTCCTGACCGCCCAGACTTTGGGAGCCACCGGGTCCTCCGGCTCCTGGGGTCTGTCGCCGATGATCGGCTATATCGATACGCAATGGCGCCGAAAAGTTATCCAGTTTGATGCGACCGTTGCAGGAGAGCGCCCTCTTGAGCTGGGCCAAAGTCTCAAACTCCACGTAACCGTAGCCCTTAAACTCGTCCGTCTCACGATCCTTGATCAAACGCACATTCTTCACTTCAAAGTCCGAGAATATCTTCATCACATCGCCCTGCACTAGACCCTTGGGCAAATTACCCACATAGGCGATGAACGGTGGATCCGTGGGCACTTGGCGCTCGCGATCACGATCCCTGTCACGATTGCGAAAGTCACGGTAATTACCACGATCGTCCCGATTATCGCGATTGTCCCGATTATCGTGACTGTTACTGTTGGTATTATTATTGTCACGGCTGAACTCGCGAGCCCGCTGGCTGGAGCGATTGGCCATGGTCATCGAGCCCTAAACCCGAACCTACAAAAATATATGTACCTACACGCGGATTTCCAAACGCTGTACGAAAAGTCTGGAGATCGATATCCCAGACGCTGTTGATAAGTCTACGCGAGACGAGCGACTGGAATCGGAGCTACAAGGCTCCTACTCGTTTTCTGACCGCCCACTGACACTAGTTTCAACACCTCTGGATTTTACTCAATCTATATATATCAATATGTTTTACAAAATAACTAAATAAACAAAGTTTTTTTTTAGCCTGTCCACTAAAAACTTAAAAAGCTATAACGAATTTTGTTCAACATCTCTTAAAAACATAAAAACTTTAATATGTCGTGAGGTTTGAAAGGTTTAAATGAATAACTAAAATAATTTAGCCAGTTATTTTAATTGAAAGTCGTGGGATATTTTTATGTTTTAGCTTCTCAAAATGCCTTTCAAGATTCATAGGCAATTAAACTTATGTTTAAACAGTTTTTATTTAATAAAGTAAACAAAAGCCTCAAAACAATGCTGAATATTATGTGCAAAATGGAAGCGAAATGTTTACAACCAAGCCTGCATGGAAATCTGCTGCAAAACTGAGCTCTGAGCTAAGGTAAACCATCAATGATTAATTACGGCGCCAGGCTCCAGACCCATTCCACTTTTTGTGCAAAACATGTGTAAGCAGCAGCTCCATCTTCTCCGCCAGTTTGTGTTTGTTTTATGGATAACGCCAACAAAAGCAGCAACAGCCAGTACATGAAAAAGTCAACAGTAAATAGTGCAGCCAAGTAGCAGCAGCAACAGCAACAGCAGCAGCAACAGCAACATGAGGCACAGCAGCAACATCAACGAACGCTTTCTGTTTGCCCCGCGAACTCATGACTCATTTTTGTACATTTGTCAAAATCTGTGCCATACATCATTTTAAACAGTGCAGCTTGGGGAGGGCGTAAAGGTTGCGAGGAGCGAGGCATGACTGTATTTTAGCCACAGCCTGGCTTTCATTCAAAGCTCTTACTCTTTCCTTTTTTCCATACTATCTCCCTCTCTGTACAGGAAAAACCTTGCCCCAGTGTTTCAAACGACTCAACGCATGGAGCCCAAGATAAATCGCCAGCAACACGGAATTAAAAACTGATGTAGCGATTAATTTATCACTTGCAGGCTGGGCACTTAACAAAAAACAGCCACATTTTTTTAGGTTGATATGCAACTTAAGAAATGTAATATATTTTTGTACTTGTTTTGAGAAGGTAAAAAAAATTCCATAAAATAAATGTTGTTTATTTGTGCAATTAAAAGTATGTTGATTGCTAGATTCCCTTCTGCTGTTATTTTTTTAATAGTTAATTATAACTTTTTTTTTTATTAAAAAGTTAAATGGATCTAATAGATTTAAAGTTCCTGCTTCTTAATTTACTTACACTATGTTTTGCCGAGTGCATCGGCAAGAAGAGTTGCAGCTTCTGGCAATATTTAACTAACAAGTTTTAGTGAGCGAGTGGACACACAGAGGAGACGTTTGAATGGTTCTATCCGAATGGAATCGAAGTGCACGAAGTTGGGCAGTATATAAATTACGAGCAGCAAATAAACGCGCTTCATTGCATCATCGATGGACAGTAGCTATACTATTGAGGTGGTATATCAGGGGGTCGGGCAAAACAAAGGGCCGCAGGGAGATGTATGGACAAACAGAGACAAGCAAACGGAAACGGAAACGCTTTCAGCTGTCGAATTTGTATGAGCTAAAAGTGGCCATTCTCCATTTTGCCGAGATCCCAGGGCTTTTGTTGTAAGCGCTCAATCATTTGATTGTTGCAACTGCAAAAGGACTCGAGCGAAGCTCATCGATCAGAATTAATAAAGATTTGGTCCTTGGTGATTGACTGACTGACCCACCTCGACCAGCTGGGATTTTTCTGAGGGGGTCGAAAGACGGGGGACTGCAACCCCCTTATGCTGTATAGAGCATTTGTTTCCAATCGGGGAATCCCACTTGATTGGCACAGAAGCGTAAACGATTTTAGTATTACACAACATTAGCGAAATTAAATTGATTTCGAGGATGTTTTCGAGCCATCCACCACCTCTAACCATCCTTACTCTCTATTCCAAGCTCATCATAATGATGTCCTTGGCTTGATTTATGCCGCAACTCCCGCAAGTATGCAGCGTAAATATCTTTATGGGCCAATATGTGAACGTTACGTACATGTACCTCCCCCAGTTTCACTCCATTAGTGCACTTGTAGTACCTCACATATTAAGCATAAATAGGGGGTGTGGCAGAGACCGCTCACTAATCATATTAAGCGAAATTCATACGTCGCCGCATTTATGCGATTTGCGAAAGACCTCTGAAAACAGCCAAGAACCCGAAAACAGATAGAGGGGTAGCTTTTGTTATGACTCGGTCTGGCAACATTTTTCGTTGTCGTTTAAACTAATTGAGTGTTACAAATTTTATGTGCAAAATCTTTAAGCTAAATTGAAATTTGTTTTCTTTTTGCCCCCGCTGTCGTACATTTTCCACATATGATGTTCACTATCCCCGTAAACCCGTATCCGTAAGTGAACCCATTTAATGTTATGTGCACATTCTCGTTTGTTCATACCCGTAAGTGCGTTGAACCATTTTAAAATTCCCGAGTTGAGGTATGTTCGACTGGTTTTTGTTCACAAAATATTGCCTATGGGTTGGAGTGGTTTGCTATTGGGGTTTTTCCTTTTTTTTTTGTTTGGGGTGGGAAGGGAAAGAGATACGAGCTCAGTCGCGATTCCCTTTCATTTTCATAATTGAGGTTGAAGTTCGCGATGAAATATTAAGTATAGGATAAGCAAACACTTGTTCTCTTTGAGGTTTTATGTGTTTGTTAAAATGTACAATTTATTTGTTTACCTAGTCTTGAATTTAAATTTGGCGCCTGGGGTCAAAAAGGTAAAGTCTTGGTAGAAATTAAGTACCTTTTTAAGTAATTCGTTTTCTATTTGAAGCATTTAATATTTTATTAAATTATTATTATTTATTGGCTTATGATCTTAGCCAGAATTTTTGTAAGCTAGTTCAAAGAATAATTTGAGAAATGACAAATACTTCCCACTCCATTTATCCGCAACCGCCAAGCAAAATGTCAGCTAATTAAACTGCCAACGGAGTGTATTCTCAAAACAATTTACATAATTTACGATGCAAGACAATTGGCAGAGCAAGCTGAGAACATCGAGGCCAAGACTTGCAGGCCAATAAACAGAATTGCATATAAAATGACAGGGATATTTCTATGAGTTGTTTGGGCCAAGATAAGGGAAAAAGGAATATTCGCGGATACTCCAAGTTGGCGACTCTATGGCCCAAGAACAAAAGCCAAAAGCCCACACAAAGTGTGGGTCTAAAATAAAGAGCAACTATCGTCTGAGATTTATCATTTGCTAGGCCATATATCAAGTGCTTTGGCCAAATAATATAATATATGGCACTTGCCAAGTTCGCAATTACCAGCAGAAACTGTCGCGGCATTTTGAAAAATTAACATGCAAGCCATATATAGTTCTTTGTATCGGTCAGTGCTTTGGATTTATGCCGAATTGATACTCCTAGTGATGCTGATTTATGGCCTTTCGGAGTCGGGTTCTCCTACACGCTCCAAAGAACTTTTGGCGGAGCCATAAATAATGCCGGCGATCAAATTGCTACCTTCATGCGTCGATTTTTCGATTGTGCGGATGGTACAAGAGCGCGGGAGCCGAACAGAGTTCCTTGGCTTTGTTGTACTTTCAATTAAGGCAATTGATTTTAATTAGACCACGGCTTACCATAAACATATTCCAAAGAAATTATTATTAAACACGCGACCCTCGAGAGCTGCTGGTTTTGTGGCAGGGGGTTCGGATGGGTCGTAAAGTTCTCCTTCACCTCACCGCCTCTCGGGGTGTAACTTAATATCTGCTCTAGCCATTCGGTTCAATTAGCAGGAATTATATGGCCAAGTCGGGTCGCAATGCACCCTGCACAGGAATGTGCCCACATCGCGGGCCAACTGCTGCTGCTGAAGTTGGAGGAGGTAGAGCAGCTATATTCCTTAATTGCCCGATATAAAGGGGACAATCAAACACTGAGAGATATTTTCTCTACAACTTATAATAAAAAGATTTAATTAAAAGTAAATAAAAATCATAAAAGGTTTTCTTGCGCATGCTTTGCATTATAAAATATTTTAGAAAACTGTTATACATGTATATATTTTAACTTTTTAAATGACAAATAAAGTAAGCTCGTATTGCACAGGGTAAATAGTCCATTAATCCGTTAATCCATATACTTAAAAAATATCAATTCAACAATTTTTTTTTGACCAGGCTTTGCCTAGTTTCCTTTTATAAAATATTTTATATAAAATATTTAATAAAACTTCCAAATTTTAGGTTACGATTATTTTTTAATGATTTGAAATCTTTATGCTTCTACTTTTACTTATATTTCGTTGTCCGCTTGACAAATGAAGTACGCTCGTGTTATACAAGGTAAATAATCCATTAATCCGTTCTGCAAAGTAACGCAGTTTCCATGGAATAAGTTGTTGGAACCTCTTGTACTCCACTTCACAAACGCTGGTTTTCCAGAGACGTCAGATACGAACTCGCCCTCTTTTTCCCGATCATTGATGGCAAGCCAGTACTGGTTATTGTTGTTAAGTTTGCCTTTAATGGCGTTAAGCTCCTCTTCGTTATTAATCGACGCAAGGTAACCACCCATGTTAGTACATATGATACCAGCCATAGGATAAATTCTACGAGTTGTATTTTCTATGTAAAAGTACCTTGAGCCAATTTTCTCAAATCTCGGCGGTATAACTATTGGATTGTTTGTGGGAAGCGGCGATTGACCTTCCATTTTTGTAAGAATCCTTGTCAATCCGGATTGCAATTCCAATATTCGGTCGTATACTGTCGTTACTGTCGTATTTAACTCAGCCCTTATAATCCGGTTATGTTCAAAAAGTGGGCGGAGAACGGAAATGCAGAATTCTCCGCATTGTTTTGTAGGATCGCTTAGTATACAAGTGGATCTGCCATTGTCCTGAGTATTCGCTTGAGATCCATGTAACTTTAGGACAATAAAGAAACCGAAAACAAATAATGCAAG